CCTCAGGGTACAGTGCTAGGGCAGGATTTGACCCTCTCCAGGCACACCCATCCTGCCTGGAGCAGCAGAGGAATGCCCAGCCAGGACACAGCCCCCAGTGCCAAGACAGGGTGCTCCTGGGTCCTCTTGCCCTCCAAAAGGTCCTACAAGCCCAGTCTGAGCCAGTCACCCCCTGTGCTATGGGACAAACCCCAAACAGTGTTTGGGATGCTAGAAAAGGGCTCTTCCACCCATCTCTCCTGTGAGGGGCACAGCACAACCCCAGCACCCAGAGCCACAGCACCCAGAGCCACTCCCAAACCTCCCACTGGCCCAAAACCCAAATGTGCTCTGCTCACTGAAATATTTGCCCTAGGGGACAGGGAGGGGGCTGAAAAAGGCACATTTTTGCTTGTTTTTGGAACAAGCTGGAGAATGAAAGAGAAGCCCCAGGTGCAGAGACTGTGGCTGTGCAGGCTGTGCACGGCCCAGCTCAGGGGGCCGGGGAGGACCAATTCTCCCAGTTCCCCCAGTTGGGGCTGGAGCAGAGCACTGGGGTGGGACAGGCACGAAGGGACCCAGGGCAGGGCCCAGCCACCTCCCCCAGGCACCCAGCCCTCAGCTCACCTGGCTCAGCTCCTGTTGGACACCAGATCCCTGACCAGGAGGGGAGGCCGAGCCTCCGTGTGTCCCCTGGGGCAGCAGAGAGCCAGGCCGGATCCATTACAGCCCTTCCATTATTCAGGAGCCCAGGCAGGACAAAGGGGAGGGACAACGGGGGAGGGAGAGGACTGGGGCTCCACTCCCCACGGTGCTGATGTGGGGCTCCATTTGCCCCCCCCCAGGGTCCCCTCTGAGCCACGTCCTGCAGAAAGGGGTGGCTGTCACACCAAACCACAGCCTCGCTGAAACCCACCCCTGGAGAGCACCAGAGTGGAGGGTTTTGGCAAGCAGGCTCTGAGAGAGGCTGGGCCCGGGGGACAGGGGTGGAAAGCCCCTGCTCAGGGCTGAGGTCTGGCCAAGTGGTGCTCACATCACCCATCAAACCTCAGCACCGGGGTCAGGTTCTGCTGCTGTGGGGAAGGCAGGAAGGGGAACAGCCACAGCCTGCAGAAATACTCGTAGGCAAGCAGAGCCCAACCTCCCCAGCA